GAGATGCGAGTTACTCGCAGCGTAATTTCGCTTCAAGATATCGCGGGAAGAAGGAAAGATCGAACTATTCAAAGCGGGTTGACGCTTTGCGAGTTCGCAGGGAAAGAAAGAGATGGGAGATACTCAAAGCGGTGTCTCGCTTCGAGTTATCGTGGAAGGAAGAAGACCAGAGAGAGATGGTAATTACTCGAGGGCGTTATTTCGCTTCGAGTAATTGCAGAAAGAAAGCGGGAGAAAAAAAAGGAATAAGTGTGAAAGAAGAAAAGGGAAGAGCACGACAGAGAATTATAAATAATTACAGAAAGGTGAGTCTTAGGCGATTGCAAAAAAAGAGGGTTGCGAATTTTAGATCCCCCAGAAAAAGTAGTTACTCACGGTTTTGGCGGAGAGAGAGAGTAATGAGTCCTTGTGATGGGAGGAGTCCTCGCAGGATCAGCGGTCGGAGTAGCTTCTCTCAGAGCTTCCCTTAGACGGGATGGTGGAATTGGACCGCAAGATGATGGTACGCACTTGACCGCGAGAACTCCGGACTAATGTTAATAAATCGGGCAGTACTTCGTCTCGTGAGCGATTAAGTTAATATTCGACTACTGTACACTGTCCTCGCGAAGGGCTCTTATATACCATACATAAGGTATGGCGTTGTTTTTTCGGACTTTGGACTTTGATTCGATGATGATTCTGTTTTGAGTGTTATTGTTTCGAAATATAGGAGTGACTAATGATTTTTCTTTGAATTATTGGGAAAGCCTTTCTAAAAATAGAAGTGATTACACATATTTCTATGAGTCATACTGCCACTAGGCGTGCACGTGTGATAATTAACACATTTAGTATCTACAGTTATTTGGTGATATTAATTATTCCTTCGTTAAGAATCGATCTTCGATCGGTCACGCCTATTGACTCTCTAATAGACTCTCTGATATCTTAGGGATTGCATGCATGGAACTGCGAGTGATTCGCATTTGAGAAATAAGTTCTCTCCACGAAAGAAAAGAATCGTGGAGTCGTCAGGACATAACACTTTCATTGTGAATTAAATTTATTAAAGTCTTCCAAATTTCATCTCTGATATATTCTAAAAATTGTCCTTCTCTTTTCTTTGTAACATTCATTCGAATTTTATTTTGATATAGAATTTTTGTGTGTAACGGAGAGAGTTCACTATGACAAGATAGTTATTACGTGTGCATTGTATCTATAAAGGTGATTTATATGTCTCTGAAGAGGCCTAAAAAATGAGTAGATATATGTGTAGGCACGTTATTGTAATAAAAAGTTTTGCGTTATATCTGTATATTATTTGCGTAACGACTACCGCGCCCGACTTCTATTGCCCCTTCATCTCCAAATTTTTTTTGTATTATATGTGGTTACTTACATGAAGAGGTTAATAATTGTCGTCAAAATTGTCAGGTAAGTTTCATTAAATGTTTCTATTACTAAACATTCATTCTTAATATTTAATTGTAAAAAATCGATACTTTGTGTTATATTTTATTTTCAATTAGCGATTTCCATGTTAACGCTATTAATGTTGCTAAATTGCATGTTTAAGATAAACAAAGTACTGATATAAGTACAATAAAATAATAAATATACAGTAATAAATGTAAAAAGACGTACAGGAGTTAAGCGTAATTATTATTACGCAAATAGAACTCAAAACACACACAACAACACACACACACACACACAACACACAAAACAATTTGTAACAAATAATATACAGTCTGTCATATGATAACGTCGTCCGTATATCTGACAAAAAAAATATTATTTTTAA